AAGTTTGGAAGCCCCGGGTTGATCTCCCGAAGGGGGGTGAGCATGCGAAGTACTGAAAGGGTTTAAAAAAATAAGGGGGGGGTTGGGGGGCTGGACAGACCCAAAAGGGGACAAAAAGGGCCTTTTGTCAGCACCCGGTCACCGGGGGGCCATTTCCCAAGGCGGGGGGCAAGCCGCCTTTACGTCATAATTCAAGGTTGTAACGATCAAAGTTAAAGGCCTGAAGCCGAGGTTAAAAGAGTAGGGGAAGGTTTTAAAGAGATTTTGTAGAATATGTTTCATTTAGGAAACACAATTTTAAATTTGGTTGTGAGTTGTCTTTGAAAGGGAAAATTGTATGTGAGTGGCTCTTTTGAGGGTTTAAAAAGGGGGGGTTGCTTGGCTTAAAAAAGGGAAACCCCCCATTGGATTTTGGGGGGGAGGAAGGGGGGGGGGTCGTGAGGGTGAGGGGGGGGGGTGCAACGAGGGTTTGTTTTATAGGAGGATAGCCGGCAGATGGCAACGCACGAGTCAAGGAGAACTTTGTGAGGGAATTTTTGATGTACTATTTAAGGGGTTTACCTTTAGTCACTGTAATAGGGGGAGACTGGAATTGTGTTATTAGGGGTGGGGATGTGGAACCGAGGGGGGCGGGGTGTATGTTGGGCTTGTTACGTAATGTGTTTGGAGACGTGGGGGTTTTAGATGTTGTGGAGAGGGGGGGTTGGCAGGTTGAGTATACGTTTGTCAGACGGGATTATGCTGCAAGATTAGATAGGATCTATGCAACGGAAGCTGTACATGTGTTGGGAGTCAGGACTTTTGATGTGGGGTTTTCTGATCATAGGGCGGTTATAGCAGATCTTGATTGGGAAGGTATGGTTAGGATACAATCGGGTTTTTGGAAATTAAATGCAAGACTCGTGACTCAGTTTTTAGCAAGCCGCTAACCAGACTGAGAGTCGAAGATCAAAATGAATTTTTTATGAGAGAGCCACAAAATTTGATTAACACAAGCCTATCCGATGTTATCCTGACGCCAAATGACTTCGAACAGGCGATAAATGACATGCCCATGCACTCTGCCCCAGGGCCAGACTCATGGAACTCTGTGTTCATCAAGAACTGCAAGAAGCCCCTATCACGAGCCTTTTCCATCCTATGGAGAGGGAGCATGGACACGGGGGTCGTCCCACAGTTACTAAAAACAACAGACATAGCCCCACTCCACAAAGGGGGCAGTAAAGCAACAGCAAAGAACTACAGACCAATAGCACTAACATCCCATATCATAAAAATCTTTGAAAGGGTCCTAAGAAGCAAGATCACCACGCATCTAGAAACCCATCAGTTACACAACCCAGGGCAACATGGGTTTAGAACAGGTCGCTCCTGTCTGTCTCAACTATTGGACCACTACGACAAGGTCCTAAATGCACTAGAAGACAAAAAGAATGCAGATGTAATATATACAGACTTTGCAAAAGCCTTCGACAAGTGTGACCATGGCGTAATAGCGCACAAAATGCGTGCTAAAGGAATAACAGGAAAAGTCGGTCGATGGATCTATAATTTCCTCACTAACAGAACACAGAGAGTAGTCGTCAACAGAGTAAAGTCCGAGGCAGCTACGGTGAAAAGCTCTGTTCCACAAGGCACAGTACTCGCTCCCATCTTGTTCCTCATCCTTATATCCGACATAGACAAGGATGTCAGCCACAGCACCGTGTCTTCCTTTGCAGATGACACCCGAATCTGCATGACAGTGTCTTCCATTGCAGACACTGCAAAGCTCCAGGCAGACATCAACCAAATCTTTCAGTGGCTGCAGAAAACAATATGAAGTTCAACGATGAGAAATTTCAATTACTCAGATATGGAAACATGAGGAAATTAAATCTTCATCAGAGTACAAAACAAATTCTGGCCACAAAATAGAGCGAAACACCAACGTCAAAGACCTGGGAGTGATCATGTCGGAGGATCTCACCTTCAAGGACCATAACATTGTATCAATCGCATCTGCTAGAAAAATGACAGGATGGATAAAGAACCTTCAAAACTAGGGAGGCCAAGCCCATGATGACACTCTTCAGGTCACTTGTTCTATCTAGGCTGGAATATTGCTGCACACTAACAGCACCTTTCAAGGCAGGTGAAATTGCCGACCTAGAAAATGTACAGAGAACTTTCACGGCGCGCATAACGGAGATAAAACACCTCAATTATTGGAGCGCTTGAGGTTCCTAAACCTGTATTCCCTGGAACGCAGGAGGGAGAGATACATGATTATATACACCTGGAAAATCCTAGAGGGACTAGTACCGAACTTGCACACGAAAATCACCCACTACGAAAGCAAAAGACTTGGCAGACGATGCACCATCCCCCCAATGAAAAGCAGGGGTGTCACTAGCACGTTAAGAGACCATACAATAAGTGTCAGGGGCCCGAGACTGTTCAACTGCCTCCCAGCACACATAAGGGGGATTACCAACAGACCCCTGGCAGTCTTCAAGCTGGCACTGGACAAGCACCTAAAGTCAGTTCCGGATCAGCCGGGCTGTGGCTCGTATGTTGGTTTGCGTGCAGCCAGCAGCAACAGCCTGGTTGATCAGGCTCTGATCCACCAGGAGGCCTGGTCTCAGACCGGGCCGCGGGGGCGTTGACCCCCGGAACTCTCTCCAGGTAAACTCCAGGAGTGAGGAGGTGAGTATGGCTTTTGGGGAATGGTGGCAAACTTTTTGGGATTCTAGAGAGGTAGAGTCGTGTGTCTTAGAATGGTGGGAAAGGCATGCTAAGCCAGGTATAGCAGGTTTCTATAAGAGGAAGGGAAGGGAAGAGGCAGGGTAGAGGTATGGGTTGCAAAATTATTTTGAATATCAGCTAAATGGGTGTTATGAGGAAGGGGGGGGCGGCAGTACGGAAACATGGTGCAACTCAAGGACAGGTTGGCAGAGTTACATAATGGTAGATTTGATGCAGTACGTGTAAGGGCGGGAATAGAAGCTGTGCTGTGGGGTGATAAACCTTCGGGAAGTGTTTTGCGAGGTTTTAGGGTAAGGCAGAAGGATTCGACTATTTTAAACTTGGAGGTAAGTGAGAATATGGGTGGTTATCACAAGGGACAGGTACTGAATACTACAGAAGGCATGAGCAATTATGCTGATTTCTTGTTCCAAAAGAAGTGGGGGAAGGGGGAGGAGGGCGATGCTATTGAGGAGGTGTGGGGGGGGAGAGGTTTAGGGTCATGTGGAGAGGAGGGCATGGGGATGGGAGGTGGGAGGTGAGACAGAGCCGTGGGGGTATTAACCCCTAAAACCTTCTCCAGGTAAACTCCAGGTTATAATAAGCGGCTTTCTATATAGGAGTATGTCATTGATGTCAGCTAGGCCTGTATGCCTTGAACATGTACTTGTAGCAAATAGATATTATACCTGGAGGGTGTTCCGAGGGTCGACATCCCCCGTGGCCCAGTCCATGATCAGATTTTGTGGTGGATCAGAGCCTGATCAACTAGACTGTTCCTGTTGGCCACATGTAAACCGACGTACGAATCAAAACCCAGCTGATCAGGTACTGACTTCAGGTGACTATCCAGCTCCCTCTTGAAGACAGGTAGGGTTCCATTGGTACCTCCCCCCCCTTTTGTATGTTGGGAGGCATTTGAACAATCTTGGGCCCCTAACACTTATTGTGTTGTCTCTTAGAGTACTTACGGCTCCCCTGTTTTTCATTAAGGGAATGTTGCACCGCCTGTCGACTGTTTTGCTTTTGTAGGAATTATTATTATTATTTTTATTATTATAATAATCACAGGGGAGCACTAAACCTGTAGGATTATACAGTGCATGTGGGAGGGGGGGATGAAAGGTCTTCAGGCTCAATTCAGGGAACCAAATCACAGATTCAATTCCCTAGATCAAGAACCCCGCACCAGTGTTAAGGAACCTCCCTTGAGGGGCTTTTGTAGGGAGTAATTTCCGTGTGCAAATTTGGGACTAGTCCCTTTAGGATTTTTCAAATGTATATTATCATGCATCTTTCTCGACTGTATTCCAAGTTCCAAGGAATACAGGTCAAATGACTTCAACCATTCCAAATAATTTAGGTACCTTTAAGTGCAGTGAAATATGTTCTCTGTATATTTTCCAAGTGTGCAGTTTCACCTGCTTTGAAAGGGGCCGTTAGTGTACAGCAGTTATTATTATTATAATCAAGGAAGAAGTGCTAAACCCGTAGGACTATACAGTGCCTGTGGGGGGATGTAGAAGGCATTCAGGTTTAATTCAGGGAACTGGAGCACAGATCCAATTTCCTAGATCAAGAGCCCCTCACCAGCATCAAGGAACCTTCCTTGATGGAAGTGTACAGCAGTACTCCAGCCTAGAGAGAACAAGCTATTTGAAAAGAATCATCATTGGCTCGGAATCTCTAGTTTTGAAGGCTCTCATTATCCATCCTATCATTTTCCTAGCAGATATGGTAGAGACATTGTTGTGATCTTTGAAAGCGAGATTTTTTGACATCACCCAGAAGTCCTTCACATTGGTTTTCTGCTCTATGGTGTGGTTGGAATTTGTTTTATACTCCGATCCAGTTTTAATTTCCTCAAGTTTTCCATAGCAGAGTAATTGAAATTTGTCCTCATTGAATTTCACATTGTTTTCTGAGGCCCATTTAAAGTCTCGGTTAATGCCCGCTTGGAGATTTGCAGTGTCATCAGTGGATGACACTGTCATGCAAATTCTGGTATCGCCAGCAAAGGACACGATGCTGTGGCTTACATTTCTGTCTATGTTAGATATGAGGATGAAGAAAAAGATGGTAGAGAGTACTATACATTATGGAACAGAGTTTTTCACTGTAGCTGCCTCTAACTTTACTCTGTTTACTGTTTTTTGTGTTCTATTTGTTGGGAAGTTATAGATCCATCTACCCACCTCAACAATTATTCTTTTATCACATATTTTGTAAGCTATTGCACCATGATCGCACTTGTTGAAGGCTTTCACGATGTCTGTGTATACACCTGCATTTCATTTATCCTCCATTGCATCCAAGACCATGTCATAGTGGTCCAGTAGTTAAGAGGCAGGAGTGACCTGCTCTAAACCCATGATCCTCTGGGTTGTGCAAGTGTTGGGTGTCCAGGTGGTAAGTAATCTTGCTCCTTAGAACCATTTCAAAGATTTTTATGATGTGGAACATTAGTGCTATAGGTCTGTAATTCTTTGCAATTGCTTTACTATCACTTTAGTGGAGTGGGACTATATCCATTGTTATTAGTGACTGTGGGATGACACCTATGTTTATGCTCCCTCTCCATAGAATATTTAAGACACGTGAAAGATGTTTCTTGCAGTTCTTGATGAGCAGTTCCACAAGTTTGGGCCTGGGGCAGAGTGCATGGGCATGTCGCTTATTGCTTTTTCAAAGTCTTGTAATGTTAGGATTATATCAGAAATTCCTGAATTAGCCAAATTTTGAGTCTCGGTCATAAAAAAATAATTTAGATTGTCAACTCTTAGTCTGATTAACAGCTCGCTAAACACTGAGTCATATTGGGACTTCAATATCATTTCTTTACTGTCATCTGTATCAGTCCCATCTTTAATCAATGTAGGTGAAGCAAATGCTCTTGGTATATTTAATGATGGGTGAGATACATGAGGGAAATGGTTGGGTATATAGAAGTCATACCAAGCACGAGCTAGACGGCAATACAACAGTGGTCATAATAGCTAGCACAAGCTAGAAGACAATACAACAGTGTTCATGACAGCTAACTAGCACAAGCTAGAAGAGAATACAACAGCGCTCATCACAATTAGCAGAAGCTAGAAGACAACAGTGGTCATCATGGCTAGCTGATTTTTCTAATAGTGTTAAAGTTAAGAGATAGAAACCAGTCAAGGTGAATCTTGTGTTAACCCTGTCCCTGTCCTAGATGTAGTTCTTAAAAAAAAAAAAAAATCTAAGCCATGAGCTCAGCTTACTCAGTTAAGCTGTGAGCAGAAAATTTTAGCCTAGATATGAAAGAATGGGTCTGTGCAGTGAGACCGCACCATATTGAAAAAAATCCTGCCCCATACACTGCATGACGGGGAAAAAAAAATGTGAATAGTTTAAAATAGCAACTTAAGGGTATTTTCTCAGATGGTTTTATGGTTTTATTGGCTGCTTTTTGGTATTATTTGAGAAAATGGAAGACATATTACTGAAATAGAGATGATTTTGATTGGCTTCAGGAATGGAAATAGCTTGAAACTGAGCTCAAAATAGCAGAAACATTCTCTTTTTGCCAATGTTTCAGAGGACAGGTAAGGCCCCCATATAACCCCCAGTCTGTTTTATGGGCTTTTAATAGGTCTGATTTAATTATTAGAACACGATAAAACACGAACAATCTTTCCTGGTTGTGTGTTATTATCCGAGATAGAGTAAATCTTCTGTTTTTGTGATGCTGACAAACTACCTCACAAATTTTACGTCACAGCAGAGGTACTGTTACAGGCACTCCTCACTTAACCACCTACCTGTTTAACAACTGCCTGGACTTACAACCAGCTCTACAATCAGCCGGTATATTGTATACAGTACAGTATACAGGTATGCAGGTGGGGATATAGTTTTGGAGTGGTTGGTGCAATTATTTAATAAATGTATGGAAGAGGGTAAGGTACCTAGGGATTGGCAGAGAGCATGCATAGTTCCTTTGTATAAAGGCAAAGGGGATAAAAGAGAGTGCAAAAATTATAGGGGGATAAGTCTGTTGAGTGTACCTGGTAAAGTGTATGGTAGAGTTATAATTGAAAGAATTAAGAGTAAGACGGAGAATAGGATAGCAGATGAACAAGGAGGCTTAGGAAAGGTAGGGGTGTGTGGACCAGGTGTTTTTCAGTGGAAAATATAAGTGAACAGTATTTTGATAAGGCTAAAGAGGTTTTTTGGGGGCATTTATGGATTTGGAAAAGGCGTATGACAGGGTGGATAGGGGGGCAATGTGGCAGATGTTGCAGTGTATGGTGTAGGAGGTAGGTTACTGAAAGCAGTGAAGAGTTTTTTTCGAGGATAGTGAGGCTCAAGTTATAGTATGTAGGAAAGAGGGAAATTTTTTCCAGTAAAAGTAGGCCTTAGACAAGGATGTGTGATGTCACCGTGGTTGTTTAATATATTTATAGATGGGGTTTTAAGAGAAGTAAATGCGAGGGTTTTGGCAAGAGGCGTGGAGTTAAAAGAAAAAGAATCACACAAAAAATTGGGAGTGTCACAGTGCTCTTTGCTGATGCCTGTGCTTTTGGGGAGATTCTAAAGAGAAGTTGCGAGTTTGGTGGATGAATTGGTAGGTGTAAAAAAAGAAAAAGAAAATTAAAGGTGAATACAGGAAGAAAAGGGTTTAGAGGATAACAAAAAGATTAGGGGGAAAAAGATTGATATCAATTGGGGGGGAAAGGGGTAGGAGGAGGTGAACGTATTCGATTTTTGGGAGGGGGTGTCGCGGAGGGTTATAAAAGATGAGGTAAAATATAGATTGATGAGGAAAAAGGGGAAAGTGGTGCATTAGGAGTCGGGGAAACAAAGAACTTTGTCCTTGGAGGAAAGAGGGGAAAAGTATGAGGTATAGTTTTACCCAAAGCTTTTATTGGGTGTGAAGGTGGGGGTGAATTTCAGCGAGGAGAAGGGGAGGCAGTGGAGATGTCATGTCTGGGGCAATGTGTGGTGGAATAAATGCGGAATTCGTAGTTTGGAAGTTTGAGGAGGTGCGGGGATTACCAAAAAGTTTCCGAGGGTGAGGAAGGTTGAGGTGGTTCGGAAATTTTAGAGAATGGAGCGAAAAAAAGAAAGACTTTAAGGTGTATCATCTGTTGTGGAAGGAAGGGGGTGGGGTGGCCCAGGGAAGGGTTGGAGGGAGGGGGGGTAAAGGGGTTTTGTGTGCGAGGGGCTTGGACTTCCCGCAGGCGCGGGGACGTGTTGATAGGAGTGAATGGAGACAAAAAGGTTTTTTAATACTTGAGTGCTGTTGGAGTGTGAGCAAAGTAACATTTATGAAGGGGTTCAGGGAACCGGCAGGCCGGACTTTTGTCCTGGGAAAGGGAAGTCAGTGCCTGACTTGAAGGGGGGTGGTTTTTAAATTTTCAGTTTTTAAAACTGTAGTGTAAAGCCCCTTCGGGAAGCAGTGATGGAGTGAATGATGGTGAAGTTTTTCTTTTTGGGGCCCCCCTGCCTTGGTGGGAATGGCCGGTGTATAATAATAAAAAAAAAAAAATAAAAAATATACAAAAAGTTATTAAAAAAAAACAAAAAAAGTTATAAATGTGCAAAGGTGAAAAGGAGTTTTGGGCTGAAAGAACAAAAACCTTTCCCCTTTAAAAATTTTTATTAGTGATTAACTGCCCCCTTAAATTCTAAGGTTATGTTAAGAAAAATTTATTTTCATTAGGATTTTTGTAAAGGGAGTGGATAGCCCTTTTTTAAAAAAACATTAACAGGTTGTTAAAACTGAAAATTCTGGAATAAAAATTCCCTCTTTTAATAAACTTTTTGGTGAATAAAAATTTTTTGGATTTTTTTTGAAAGGGTAAAAGTTAAGGGGAGGTGAGTTTTTTATGATGTTATTGAAAAATTTTTTTTAGGGGCCCCCCTTTTCCAAAGTCTTAAAGGAGGAAAAAGGGGGATGTATTTTTGGGTTTATTATATTCCCCCCTATAGTGACATTTTTGGGTAAAAAAAACAATGAAAACAATTTATAAAAAGGCCTAAATTACTTCAAAGGGAAATTTTTATTAAAAATTTTAAAAGGTTTTTTTTTTTTTTAAAAAGGTAAAAAACCTTTACATTTTTTTTGGGGAAAATGTTAAGGGTTTTTTTTGTTAAAAAAAGGGGACAAAGGCTTACTGTAATCTAATCGGGCAAACAGAAAATGGTGATTTAATTTAAATGGATAAAAGAAATTTTTTTTTCGGGGATTGTTTCTTTTTTTTTTTAACCTTGGGGAAACGTTGTAAAAAAAAAAAACAAAAAAAAAATTGAAAATATGTAAAAAAAAGTAGATCTGCTTTTGTAGCACTACGAATTTGAATGTCGATCTCTTTGGACCGTTTAAGGGTTAAAATAGGACTCAAAAGTGGGCAGAATCACCGGTGCATAAATCGCTCCAAGACTGCTAACTTTGTGCCTGCATAGTTCCAGAAATTTTTCATAAAATTTCATACTTTTGGTGTCCTTACCTTCAGAAAAAAAATTCTCTAACATTTCAGAGAATTTTTTTTTATTTTTAATTTTTGGACATCAAGAGCAAGTTTCTTTTTGGGGGTCTGGACAGTGAAAGGGCTAAAAAATATATCACATTTTTAATACTAAGTTAATATAAAGATTAGCAAATAAATAAGTTGTAGAAACAATGAATCAGCTGTTAGAAACAATGACTCAGCTGTTACAAACAATGATTCAGCTGTTATAAACAATGACTCAGCTGTGACAAACAATGACTCAGCTGTGACAAACAATGACTCAGTTGCTACAAACAATGACTCAGTTGTTACAAGCAATGACTCAGATGTCAGAAACAATGACTTAGCTATTACAAACAATGACTCAGCTGTTAGAAACAAAGGAAGAGCTCCAGAGAGACTCAAGCGTAAATTACTAAGTTCCGAAAATTTTATTACACAATAACATACATACTAAATTTAATTATACAGTAGCATACTAAATTTTATAAATGCTTTACCTTTGCTTAGCCTCAGTCTCTCTAAATAAAAACAATTAAAATGTACCACATATAGGCATCTAAAATATAATATCAAGCTTCATAAAGCAGTGTGTCTTGGCAAGTAAAGACACATCAGATTGTTTACTGTCATCTGAAAATTAATACATCAAAATCTTCTATCTTGGCACATTAAATATTGCAAATAATAGCAAAGTAATTTACCATGATATGATATACACTAAATTCCTGTAGACTACCTATAAAACCTTTTTGTTACACAAATATTTTCATAAAATACATCCTATATATCAATGCTTTTCCCAGTTCTTGAACTATATCAAAATGAGTCTACCACATGTTTCTAACTTGTTTTTATATTAAAGTAACATTTTACTTCATTTGGATACAATTCTACAAATGAGGTACATGAAATAATAATGTT